CATACTGCTAGTAATCTTCCTGCCCATGCTGCATCATCTGCTCCTCCCAATGCCATCTCTACTACAACCGGCCAAGAAAACGATCCAACATATTCGTATTCCACTTCAGACACGCAGGTCCCCGTCTTTGATACCTCCACAGGAGATGATGAGGTTGAGCTGAGCAGTGAGCAGTCCAGCACGATCAGGCCTTCAACAACAGTCCCCTCTTCCCGTGTTTCTTTTCCTCAATCCTCTTCATTAGCCAAACTCCCTTTGGACAAGAGCTCCTCTGTTGATTCATCGAATTCGTTATCCTTTTCATTGCTCCCTACTGGAAGTACTCCACACTTGATAGATTCTGGTCCACAAAATCAACTTCTTCCTTCGCCTCCGACTCCACCTCTTTCTCCTTCTCTCCAGTCCAGGGCTTCCATGCCGTCATCACTATCTCTCTCCAAAACTGACAGCATTGTTAACCTGGAGACCCGAACTAACATTGGACTGCATCCAGTTGCTCTTTTTATTCTGGTCAGGCAAGTTCATTTTTCTGTGATTACTCTTTTGAACTCATTTAATGCTATAAATCTTAGTTTAGTTGATAATTCTCGGTTGTCGATCATTTTAGTTCATGACAATCTATGCTGTTATTTTATATCTTAAAATTTATTTATAGTCTCATTTATACTAGAATTATAGCTAGCCAGGCTGATCGTAAAAATGGCATTTCATCTAATATTATATGAGGTTGGAGTTTTATCATTAATTAATTGATGCCTCAAGTCCTGGATTGAGATGATTATAGGAAATTACAATTTTTATTTTACTCAGAATAGTATCTTGCTTCGACCTTGTAAAGATATTATTACACCTGCATTCTTGCTGCCATGCGGGATACACTACAGTTGCTTACTTATTAATTGTGTCCATAATACAACATCCAAATTTTAGACACTAGTTTCAGCGCAGGCCCAACCAAAAAAGAAGATCCAAGGCAAAGTAAAGATACCAATGGATAGAACCAATAAGTTTCGAATAATCTCCTAAAGAATCCATTAATAAATTGATGTTGGTGTGCCCTTTATTTTATTTGAAAAGTCTGGTACAAGGGATTTGTAACATGACCTTATCGTAAACCGTAGGATGATTGCTTCGGAGATGTGATCGCTAGTTTTTACCAATGATGATGGCTTATGGCTTTAAAGATGTCTTTCAGATAATAAAACAAAGGACTCTACGGTTTTATCGGGGCTGCTGGACGATGAACCGGCGTCTTATGTGCACATTCAACTAGTCAAAATTTCAAGGCAATTTTTCTACGGGCTCCAGTGAGGCTAAATTACAAATGTAATGAGATGTATTCACTTTATTTCGTCTAAGGTAATGAAGGACTGGTAGTAGAATTTTCCCACAATTATATGAGTTGAGCTGACGTT